ATAATTATTTAACTGTAGTTAGAAAATTATTTAAACTTCTTATCTAGCAATCTTGAAAATATATTTATTTAGCAAAGTTCAAATCCGAGTGTGTGTAATCAACTTGTAAAATGCATTAATCTAAGTAGTGACAGACAGCCAGTTTCCACTATAATTATGCTTTAGAGATATGGTACAGTGAACTTTTACCCCAGGATTAGAATTGCTGTGCAAGCATATAATTCAGCTTCACAAACTCCAAACATCTTCACTGAGAAGTGTTTCTAGGGTATTTGCTGAGCTTATGCAAGACTCATTTAAATTCAAACAGAAACACTATAAAGATGAAATGAATCCCAGGTGCTCTCACACTCCAGAAATAGATGCTTTAAGACATGAACAAAGAGAATTAGTGTTAGCAAATGTACAGGAATCCTCTTTTCCCCTGGATTCCTCTTATTTGAGTGCATATTTTGATATATATTACTAGAGTATTTCTTAATTATATATAACATGATATTTAAAACTTTTAAACAAACTTGTGAAAGGAAGCTTGTTACAAAACCTGATTGTTGGCAGGCACTGTTACCTTCCAAATCCACAATATGCCAAAAAGCCCCGGGCATCTAAAACTTCTCTGTCTTCTGAGGGCATATAAAATAGCTAAAAAAACATAAGCTCTTTCCTTCTCTTTCATTTTAACTGATGAGGGAAATTTTGCCAGTGTCCTTGGAATAATAACTACTCACTGCCCAGGGAACTGGGTGCCTACAATAGTCCTCACTGGTTAAGACTATTTATGAAGTGGCTACAACTAGAGGGCTATGTAGGATGACTCTTGAAACTCCCTTCTGAAAAACTTCTAGAAATACATCATTATTCAGGGGAAATAACAGTCCCTTAAGTAAAACGAGAATGGGATCTATTACTTGTCACCAAGCTGTGCTCCATGACTTGTTCTAAGGGTTCTTCAGCACTAGTCTTCTGTCCTTTCTTTCTCCACTGACAACTTAAATTTGGAAATTCCTGAAATACTGTTTGTTGGATGTGATCAGACAAGAGTATTTTCTCATGTGAGTCACAGTGTTCTCTGAGCATTCACTAGATTTCCAGGTAATTTCTAAAACATCTTTTCCCCCATCTGCCAAAAAGAAGCCTCTCCAACAGGTATAACAAATATATTTTCTGCCATCAATGACAAAGTCTTTTAAAATGGCCTTACTGTGTCTCAAGCTACTTGCTTTAAAGGACTGATCTGTTGTAGTAACACAGGTGCAACAATATTCTGTATTTCAATAAGGAGAGTGCAGGAGGTTGCTCAAAAATTCATCATTCAAAAAAACAAAAGAGGGAAACAAAAAGATCTGCAATAACTGAAAGGAACAGCAGAGAAATTGTCTTTCAGACTGCCTGAGGCTGAAAGGAAGGCTAGTTATTACAGATAAAGTATACACTATATAAAAATAAGCAGGTAAAAATTATATTATAACAAACCATAGAAAGAAAGAAAGAACCAGAGTACACCTAGTAAAGAAACCCAGCTGGAAATCTGTATTTTCTCAGCCATAAATGAGTGTTTAGGGGAAGTGAACAGACTCTAGTTGAATATAGCAAAACTATGGGTCACTCTGGGATGTATTTAAAACTGGAGGGATACAGAAATAAATGAAAAATTTGTCCCAGTTTACACAAAGAGTTTGTGAGATGAATCACACAGTGTTTCTTACAAATTTCCTCATTAGGACCTGCCTACGAACTTGATAAAAAGTTTACTGGAAAAGATAAGCTGAAATGGAAATCATAACTTCATTAAGCATTTCTTTCTCATGAGGAGGAAAACCACCTTAAATAGTATGCCTTTATTTAATAGAGGGAGAGCGGACATAAGTCAGTTTTAAAAAAATTTCTATTCATTATCATATGTGGAAAAGTGGAATGCTGTGAAAATCCGGAGATTATAAATAGAAAAAAAAAAAAATCCCTGTCCTTTTGTTTTCTATGAAATATCATTTTAAGGCTCCCCAGTGGAGTGGTGGGAAGGGCAGGAGTATGTTCACCAACACATCCACAGTCAGCAGCCATCAGGGAGCTTTGCAAGACCTTGGAATTGCAGAGCAGCCTTCAAGGGGCCCTTCATGAACATGTCACTGGAAATCCATACTAACACTACCACAGCCATATTTCCAGAGGGTTCTAATTTACTACAGCACGAGAATTTCACAGTCACAAAAACAGCCTTCGAAGGGCTACCCAGGAAGAAAAATCTATAGTGGTTTGTAAATATATAGTATTTTGCAGTCCCCAAGTAATACTTTACTTTCATAGTGTCTGTTGTGCACCTGCCACGCATCCTGTCGGCTCCATTTTTAGCTGTCACGCGTTTCCTCCATAAAGGTTTTCCTTCACACAAGTGAACACTCAGGGGAAAAAAAAAGCTGAGCTATAACAATCATGTCACTGGTCCTACTGTTTACCGTTATCTTCAAGGTTTTAGGGTTGATTTACATTGCGTTCCTCCCTATTTGACTTTAATTGTCTGCTTCAAGTTGTCAGGACATAACTATATCTTAGATTTGCATTGCATTAGGGGATCTTCTCCCTTCTCTATTGATCTTGTCTTATGGAGTAATTTAACTCAATTCTAATTTTCTTTTGCACGCGGGGTGCTCTCCAGCCAAGGAAGTGAGTTATGTGTATTCAAGTGGTGCATCTTATGAATCTTGTTAAGCTTTACCGCCTTCCAGCCCGCACTGATGGAATATTTAATCACAGGAATGAGTTGGCAGCTATGATGTACAATACGGCTCAGCCTTGCAGCGTGTGTCTTCTCCGGCAATTGAGGAACGGGGGAATTTGCCATCCATCAGTGCCATCCTGACAGCTTTGTATAACCTTCTGTTTTTCACTTATTTATGAAGATTAAAGGTACTTTAAATCAACAGTTTCTCTGCAAATGTATCATCTTTATTTCAGAAGTGGCCAAATTTTTCATCGTTTATTAAGGAGCAAAAGGAACTTCTTGCACCGACTGTGAAAAAGTTGGTGCGATTTTATCCCGACAGTGTTGGAGACAATAATTAAACCAAATAACTAGAACTTTCACTGCCTTAAAAATCACATTTCTAATTCTATCATCTTCAAAAGTGCAATTGTTTCTTCTCTAACAAAGGTAGTGGGGGGGGAACCCAAAAGTAAAGATATGTTGCAGTGTTCTATTCCAATGGCAGTGCTCTTTTACTGTTTCATTTTCTAACAACTTTGGGGCGTCTAAAAATCTCCTAAATCAGTTTAAGAGATTTGAACTAAACTGTTTAAAAGAAAGTCATCTTTGAGTCAATATAAAAAATATGCATTTGACACTCATTAAAAAAAAAAAATCAACAAAACCCAAACATAAAACTGTCTGCATGCATAAACAGAAAAGAAACCAACCCTGAAATAAATGAAGCATCTTGATAGAACTTTCTGCATAGGTGCGGTAGAGCGCATGTCATAATTCATAAAATTAAATTAATACTCTTCTAATGGTAATTAAAGATTCTCATTAAGAAGGGCAAACACCTCCCTAGTGTTGGCAATAAAAATGCACTTGGGACTTTAGGAGGTTATACAAAAAAATCAATAACCTGCCATTTTATAATTAAAAGACAAAATAAATGTTAGGGAAAAGTCCAGTAAATTAGGAAAATTACCTTCAGGAGAGATTGAAAATATTGATTTTAATTTACAAACTATGTGAACTCTTCATGCCCTACTTCATGAGACAATTATAAGTCAGATTGTTAATTCTGCATACGTATTAGAAAATTGATTACTGTACTATGGGAATATTATTATATTTGTCATTAACACAAAGTCATTTATATAAAATGACTAATAACTCTGACTTTCTAATTTATGCAGGTTCAGGGTTGGTTCACTAACTGCTCAAACAAGATCAATGTTAAATTCCTGTTTTCAACTTAGACATTCATCAGGGAGGGAAATAAATTCTGCCTACACTAAATATTGCAATCCCATGAATGCCAGGTTAGTATTTTTATTATACTTTGCCACTTTTATCCTAATTGGAACATTTTTATCTATTTCAGTAGAGGCACTGCATGTATTACAGGTAGCTTTTTTTAAACAATAAATATCTATTTGTAACACTGACCTTTTCAACAATTTTTATCTCTCCAAGTCCCTCAAAGTAACAAAAGTTTTCAGCTTTGTCTAGTGGAGACTCAAATAACTCCCTGAGTGGAAATTCCCCAGCTTTTGTGGGCAACCTCTTCCCAAGCTTAACTACCATCCACGAAAAATGCTTTCCTGATTTCTTTATGGGCAGGATCCAAATTCCTCTGAAATCAACTGGGTTTTGGAGTACAACTAAGTTTATTTTCAATCTTGTTGCTAAAGCACATTTAGAAACTGATGCTTGCCATGACTGAATTCCAGCAGAAAAAGACTGGATCTCTCTAACTCCAAATTGCAACCAGGATCAGAATTCAGTCTCACTGAAGACTCAAGTGATAATAGAGATTTTAAATACAAAAATATGAAACTGAAAAACTAAATATAAAATTTAAAAGAAATATGTTCAAAAAACCATTATGAACACAAATAGTCCATAGCTGTGTGTGTCTACCTGCATATCTATAGAAACCAAAGATTTTTATAGATAAGATTTTTTGCTGTTGCTCACTAGGTTTAAATAATTCCTGGAGGAAAGTGACAATACTGAAATATAAAATAAAATATAAATAAAATAAAATCTCATGTGGGACTGGGATATTGCAATACATTTCATGCTATACTACCTACTTTCCAATAAAAAGGTATTCATATATCTTGTATATAAAGTTTAGTATGCCCAAGTAACTTAAAATCCTGCATCACAAATCTGTAAATAACTTGCAGATAATGTGAAATCACACAAAGAAATCAAACCTCACACCAAACACATATTCTGTACTTTTGCATATTTTAAAGAATACTAAAATAAAATATGGCATGGACAACTATAGTACAATCCTTACCTGCATAGAACTCTGGACTATAAACTGCACCAACAACTGGATTTAATTTCCAGCCTGCAGCAAATATAAAAACACAATGGAGTTAATATTGCAATTGGTGATGATAATAATAATAATAATAATAATAATAATAATAATTATCATTGTATAGAAATAAACAGATAAAAAGGCTTCAAGAAAGGTCATCTGAATGAAACTTTTATAGGCATCTTTGATTACTGATCTTTAATATCAGACTGTTGTATGGAAATAAGTAACGAAACAAGGCATTCTCCAGACATGGCACTGGGGTGGATGACCAGGTGAACTACCTTGGCTGAAATGCACAGTTGCCATGGACTTACTCCTTAAGCTGTGGAATGAAGTCAGCACTAGTTCAGGTATCCCTGTACCCTGTAGTATCAGAGTACATCAGTTCTTAGTCCAGAGAGGGCAAGACAGTCCATTCACCGGACACAAAAATTCTGATAAGCATTTGTTAGTGGGGGTTACAAGGCAACCAAATAATCAGAGCACTTTGATTCCACTCTGGGAAAAATGAAAGCACAGACACAGTGTGGAAATGTCTGTTGTGACATGAAGAAGATGTGAGATCCAGCCAAATGCCAGGGACTTTGTCCATCTGCATTTGTAAACCCGACTGTCTGCGCTGGAACAGGACAATTGCAGACACACACAGTGCTGGGGAGAGACTGGGAATGCTTCAGTCACATCCTGCACAACTCTAAGGGGCACAAATGCAGCCACTGCCTTTGTCTTAAATAATCACCCTTCTCCCACTGCTACCATAGAACCAAAGCACAGACCCAGGAGATCTCCTGGACTGCGTGTCCTGGCCAAACTCCAAATAATCACTGCCGTGCCCTCACACCTGATGTGGCATTTCCAGCTGAGCCTGGAGTGCCCAGGTTGGCTGCACGAGCAGGGTCTGTGTGCAAAGCAGCTGTGATGTTAAAGACAACCATGCTGGAGGGGTTGGAGGGGTAGGGGCAAGAGAACAGCAAAAGAAAACACTGGAAAACTCGTTAGTGTTCTGAGCTGTGGTAAAGTGCCAATCATTGTGTTTTGCTCAGTCACAGGTAAGATCGACTCCCAGTTAACTGCAAACTCCACAGAACATCCCCCCACCCACACTTTCTTTTTTTTTTTCTTAAGTGAACAATTATTTTGAACTACTGTGGCTGAAAAATTAGGGGTTTCCTAGAGCATACTCAAATCAGAGGAGTGGGAAGTACCTTTTGTAAATGGGAATAAAGAAAAAAAATTGAGAGAAAGCATCTTGAAAACTCCAGAGCTATGGTACTTAAAATAGGACTTGTAACTGCTGCTGGAATGAAAATACAATCAAGACAGTGACAACAAGGCTTTTTCAAAATCACAAAAGCCAAGATTAGAAGAATTTAAATGCACAATAGGCTTATTTCTGCCTTGGCCATATCATGCAGTGCAAAAGGACAGTGAAAAAAAATCATAAAAACCCAAGGCATTATAGGACTGAAAAGGTGTAATGCAACATGTCAGTAACAACACCAAAGAAAACTATTTCTACCCTTTTCAGGGCACTGCTGTCTCTATCTGATGCACAGTCACTACTTACCAGTAACTAAGTGTTCAGTAACAGGGGAGGGGTGGTTTTGAAAGGCAACTCATGGCTAAGTTCAGAGTAAGGAGCAGCACTGCATGACATCTGCTCTGCAGAAGTGACTGCAGGTGCTCTATGCACCTAAAAGACAGTTACAGAAGCTGAAAAATGCCCAGCCTAGAAGGGTTAAAGTGTCTTGCCTCCTGAAAATACCACAGGGTTTTTTCCCGACCCTTCAATTTTTCATACTACAGGATTATATTTAGGGACATTGTGGTATAACATGTCTCTTAGCCAAATTTCATTTGATAGAAAATCATTCAAATTTTGAGACTTTCTAACTTTTTATAGCTTAGGGAACAGACAATATTTCAAATTCAGTACTTCCTCAGAAGACCACTGATCAACACAACCCAAAATGAAAGATTGGACAGAATTCTAGATCTGTCAGCTTTTGCTGTCAAAGCAGCTGACAGACATCTCTCAGCTTCTAAGTTACACTAACAGTGCCACAATTTGTCTGAGAGGATGAAAAAAAAATCTTGGAAGAGGCAGATTGTTCTTCACAGCTGAAAGGCACTCTCATATTTCAGCTCCTTACCACTCTCCCAGTGACGGCTGTCTCATCTAACTTTTTGAAGCCTACAGAGGAAATACTTCATTCATCGTGAAAATAACAGTAATTAAACTTAACTTTATCTTGTCAGCCAACAATGTGCTGGCCCATAGCTGTGTGGGTTAATCAAGTGTGATGGGAGTTGATGTATCCGAGCGAGCAGCTGCCAAGTAACCCGACTGCAGCAGCTGGAGGAGGCAAATTCTCGGCTGTGGGTGTAATTTTGTGCATTTTTCTTACTGTCACAATATTAATCTCCTCCTCAAGTTGAGACTGTAAAAGCTTAAAACTTAAAAACCAGCCAAGGAAAGAAAAACCCCTCTGCTTGACCCAGGCTCCCACCCCATGGAGTTATCCAAAGAAACCTGCAACACCTTTTGCTTCCCTCCTGTTTGCTTGCGGAGGTGTAAGGGAGGGAATTTAACTGTGCTAATAGTCACTAGCTGTGATTTTGAACCTAAATTTAGAGCAAGAGAAGGCTCAAATTCAAGGCACCACAAGTATAAACTTTACAACATATTTATCCTTTTACTGATCCCTGTTTCATGCCCCCCATTTATTGCTGCAGTTCTCTGAATCTACTTGCCCATAATTCTCCATGCCCTACAACACTTGGCTGAGCATCCTGAATTGCAATATGGGCATCAGAAGAAAGTACAACTGTGAACAGGATAGGCTGGAACATCTAAAAATGCCTCAAATATTTTTGCCAACGAGTAGAACTCCTGACACTGAATTTCTTTGCAAAGAAAAGGTAGTTCTGTCTCCAAAGCGTGAGGTGAGCCATCAAAATCATTCTGTCTGATAACAAACTCGCAAAGAAAAGCTCTCCTAGCAACTGAGCATTTATTAACTGTTCATTTGGGGCAGTCAAAAGTCAGTGGAAAGAGTACTTATTTCAAAGATCATTTAGACACAAAAGCAAACAACTTATTTGAATGAAGCTGCACACATTAAAAAAAGAAAAAAAAAAGTCTAGGTTTTTGTGTTTCGAAATCTACTGACTTCCACAATCCTATTAACAACATGAGCCTTGTTACTGAACAACCAGCAGCGCTCAGGAATGAGAGACAAAACAGTGTGTATCTTGTTTTTAAATGAAAATAAATATCAGTGCCTGATGTTTTCATATAATACAACATGTGCCCCAACTACTTTTTGAATACCTGCCAACAACACGTCAGTCACAACATACTCTTTGAAAAATAAAGCCAGGCATTAAAAAATAAGTGGCTCTGAAGCGACGGGCATGTTGCAAACAAAATTGTTTCGGGCTACCTGCATCAGAAATCTTGCAAATGTTAACGTGCTGGTAGAAAAACTAGCCTTATATTTTATTTAAAAGATGAGACCTTTACTTTAGACAACAATAATCTTTAATAAATAATCAGTTCTAGCACTGGTTAATTCCTGACACAATGATAAAGAACTAGAATCATCCCATGCCAGGATGACTGATAACACAGGCACTGATGAAACTAAATGAAGCACCTTGCATGTCTACACTTCATTCCCTGTTGCTTGTGATGATTATGCAAGAGGAACGTGATTGTCCTTGTGTGTTTACTTTAGGAGACCTCAGATATTAAAAAAAGTAACAGAAAAAGCATTGCAACCAGAGTTTTTCTTGGTAGATACCCTTCAAATGGCGTGCAAAAGAACATTCTGCACGCAACGCCTTGGCTGTACGGATTCACAAAGATAAAAGCTAATTTTTAGGCACTGAACAGGATATTTCATACATTTGGTGAGATCTAGATGAGACGGAACAGGATGGAAAATGACAAACAAAACACTTCCAGTGGGAAACACTTCATAGCAGATTTTGGCTGTCCTGGTTTTGGATATTACTAAATGATAATGTATGGCCTAAGTAATCCTGCAGTGCAGGGCACAGACATGAACCTCCTCTAAAACGAGGTTCCTAAAAATCTCACCTCTCTCGTTGCCAGCATTCCCTTCCTTCAGCACTGGGTGTGCTGATATGTAACGTGTTCTTTGCTAATGAATAGCTTTGTAGCCTTAGGATACTATGAATACAAAATATGCATCATCCTTTGTAGAAAAACTACTTTTATCATTACAAGAGAGCAGACAGAGTTCATGGTCTCATATGCATATGTATAATGCTCTGTATTGCAACAAAATCTTGTTATGTGATCCTGTCAAGCCTTGTGTCTCTTTCACTAAATTCACTAAGATGCTTTAAAACCAGTAAAAACCAAGGAGATTTCCCCATTTGCATCATTTACCAAGTTTCACATTTACATATAAAATGAGGAAGAAAACAGTTTCTGAGAAATCATAAGGAATTTCAGACCTTTCTTCTCCAGATCGTTTTAACTAGCTCAATTATCCCATGTCAAATAAAAACCTTCACTTTATTTTATTTTCATTGTGCTGAGAAAAAATGATAAGCCTTTCATTAAAAAATAAAGCCACTGTTTGCCCTGGGTTTTAGTAAAACCTCACTAATGAGACATCAAATACAGAAAATATGATCCATTATATTTCAAAATGGAAAAGAACCTAATCTACCTCTGGAAACCTTAATGTGCAGATTTCATCTGCTTTCTACTGGATGGGAAAAATGGCATTAAATTGAAACACAAATAATGACAACTACACAGTCTAGGGAAACTGAAAAGTAATTGCCATTAACTTCAGTTCATGTGGCATTGTTTGACATGGCTGAGTTAGGAACTTGTTTGAATTTCCTGAACTAGTAAATGAAAACTCAAGCATGTGATCAAACACTCCCAAAGGAAATATTTAAAAAAGTTATTGTTTCTGGAGCCCTCAAATATCTATGGATTATTTTTCTATCATTAATGTACAATATTACATCAACTTAGGTCAGTATTAGACTGAACTTTATTTTTAGGTGGCTTGGAATTTTGATTTTTCCATGGGGGAAAAAAAAAACCTCAAAATGCTGGAAGCAGAACCCAATAATAGGTTGCTCTGTTCTTCCAACAAATTATGATAGGAAGACACAGAAAGTTGTCTTTGACTAGATCCCTGTCTTGGTGCTAAAAGGTATCTCATGCCTGACAGAGACATTCTTCTGGCTGCTCTGCCCACCTCCCTCACCCAAACCAAACCCAATCATTCATTGCAACATTACCACTGCACAAAGGCAGAAGAGAGGAAAGCTTTCCTGGCAGGTCTCTTTTCCTCTACAAAAGCCTCTGGGGTTGGATTCCAGTCAGGCAATGGGATGCATGCTACGCCCACGTGGGTGTGAATGAGCTGGGATGGATTTTATGGAATTTCTGCCCGGTCACGTCATGATTTGGGGCACTGGGCAAAACCTGAGCCCCGGGAAATGCAGGTGGTGACACCCCATGAGTTCAGCAGAGTGAGGTTTGACATGCAGGGGCGTTCAAACCCAGCTCTGGGGTTTTTTCATGCACTTACCATTCGTGTAAGGGTTGACCGTCTTTTTATTTGTCATTACACGTGCTGTTGCATTATTTACCTAAGCACATAGAACACTGGATTAGAAAGGGTTACAGGGAGGGCCCGTGTCACTATTAAATGCATGCATTATTACTGCTATTAGTCATGTAAAAATAAAATGCAATTTAATTTATAGAAGGCAACAGGTGCATAACAAAATCATACTATTTATAATTACATTTACTTTCATAACCATTTTAACTTACAAATCATTTCAATAAAGCAACATCATATCATTTAAACTTTAATAAAAAGACATTAAAAGCAAATTAAAAGGTATTGCATAATTTAAGACTTAAGAGCATGCTTGTATTCCATGATAACACTGATACAATAAATACTCAAAACAGAAAAAAAGAAAAAGATTATATGAAGGAACATGCAGTGGAGTAGAAAGGAAAGAGACAAGGTACAAGGAAACAAAGAAAATGTCAAAAAAGGGACAAACGAATTTTAGCAGTGTGCAACATAACCCTTCAGAAGAGAAGTACCATTGGAAAAGCAACATCTAGCATTCAACACTTGGAACAAGAGCCTTTTTCATTGCAAGAATTAACAAAATCATTCAAGCTTTAAAATCACAGCTAACAAAAGGATAAAAAGAGGGTGCATTATTTAACACAATATGGAGTTAACAATCTGAGTAAGATGTGCACGAAGTCATATCCTCAATCCAATCAGTGCCTCCCAGGCTTGCTTAAAACGTACACTCAATTACAGGCGTACCAATATAGAAAAAAATGTAGCATCAAGAAAACTTAATACAACAAGTCAAAAAAATCCACGTGGTATATCAGCGCTAAATACGTGAAACGGCAGATGGACTTCTCCACTTACCATTCAGCACCATCGCCAGCATGGGTATGTATACAGTTACCATGGTTACTGAGAGTTTGGTGAGGGCCCTAAGCGCTACCGTCGAAGGGGGGAAAATGAAAAGGCAAAATATGCAACATCTTACTCAAAAGACGACAGCATTTTCAATTGGTAATTTTTCTTTTTTTTTTCTTTTTTTTTTTTTTTTTTTTTTTTTTTTTTTAAAGTTCTAACAGATACGACTGAGGGCAGTGTTGAAGGGGATCCAGTGGGAGGAGAAAACGCATTGCTGCTGGTTTTTTTAGAGATAGGGATGGCTCAGGCCACCCAAGCCACCTCATGGCTTCCATCAAATTAAATGTTGAAATTGGTTGCTCTCTAGCCTGGCTTTGTGTCTGTTTTTTTTTAATTTCTTTAATTTTTTTTTTTTTTCCTGTGATCTTTTGGATGCTTCTTTCCCAATCTGAATATTTTTGAAAGCCACTGTGGATCCCGCATCAACCCTGCAGCAAAAAAAAAAAAAAAAAAAAAAAAAAAACAAAAAAAAAAAAAAAAAGAAAAGAAAAAAGAAAGAAAAAAAGAGAAAGAAAACAAAGAAAAAGAAAAAAACAACCTTTTGTTTGTTTTTGTTTTGTCTGTCACACTTTTTTTTTGTTGTTGTTGTTCTCAATTTTTTTTTTAATTTTTTTTGTTGTTGTTGGCTGTTTTTTGGAATCTACTGCACCCATCGATTTACAAAACATCCAAAATAATAACTTCAAAATATTAAAGCTTTCATTTTTTTTTTAATTCTCTCATCCACCTTTCAGCAGTAATGATAACAATAATAATAATAATAATTACAAAAGAAATCATAATAAAAAACCCAAGTAAGGCCAGATTCTCTCTCTTTATATATAAATATATATATAAACAATGGGAAGGGGGAAGGGGGAGCACACAGAAGACACCAATGATGCATCTGAAACAACAAATGAGAGTGAAGCAGACATTTATAAAAAAGATGAAAAGGAAAATATTTTGAACATGCACCTCGATTTTACGGCCCTCTACCACGGTGCCGTGTAATTTCTCCCTCGCCCTGTCCGCATCAGCACTATTTTCGAAAGTTACGAAACCAAATCCCTGCATGCAGGAGGGAGAAGGGGGGAAAACAACATGCACATTATTATTTCAGTCAAAGACCACTTGTTTGCTTATGTTCTCTCTCTTTAATTTAATATTTTCTCGTCCTCGCTTCATTTCTGTAACATGCAAATTAGAAAAAATTATAATCGTATCGAGATGTGCAATAAATAAGCGACAAATGTGAACAAATTTTTTTTTTCCTGTCATCAGTTAGATAATACCCTCTGAGAAAGTCAAAGAATGATACCAAAAATACCTTTCTACATGTCACTACAGAGGAAAAATAAATCTAACAATAAGAAAATGAAATTAAAATAAATTACAGTGTCTCCACATAGAAAAAAATGAACTAATGAGAAAAGAAAATGAACCACATTTTAATGACATGCAGATATCTCAACGAAATAAAAAACATGTGCACAAAATTCAACACTGAATGTCAATATACTCTAAACATTGCCTACTTAATCATGCTGTTGTGATCATAAGAAACATTGTTCCCATGCAACACTAGGGTAACTTAAACTTTTGTCAAACTATACAGCCTTTACTTATTTTTTTATAAAAGAAAAAAAAAAGAGAAAAGAAAACCACCAACCAAACAAAAGTACTTTTAGAACAAAGTATAAACTTTCTCGTATTAACAGAGCAAAGAAAATCACATGATGTGAATAGAAAAAGAAATTCTGATAAAGGAAGAAAAATGCAAACGTTTTAAATAAGTTTAACTGCTTCATTTACTAGTTCTGCATATTACTTTCCACATATAAACATGCAACTGGTAAAACCCCAGAATCCCATGATAGTGGGACAGCAGAACACCTGACAAATCTAAAATTCTGCTTATGACAAATGCCCTCCTTTATAATATTAAGCTAAAACAAACACTCCCAATCCTACTAAAATTCCTTTTATGTGCTAAGTTAAATCAAACACTCTTTAAAATGGCAAATATTTTGGAAAAAAAAAAAAATCAGACACCCAAGAACATTTTAGAAACATACACCAACCCTTTGAAGTAATTCTTGCATTAGCACTACAGTGCCTTTCTTTGCATGCCCCCCCCCCAAGTTATCCAAACAAACACACTTCTGCATCCTCGATATTTCACAACCAGAACTGCCCATCTCCTCTCCCCTCACTCAGTTTTGTGATCATTGTTCACCCACTTTCGTCAGCACTACCTGTTATACACAGTGATTGATTAAAAAAAAAGGTACAAAAGAAAAAGGAAGGCATTTACACATTTATTCACACATTTTATACAAAGAGGAGACCAAATACCAAACTAAGGCAAAACTGACACCAAGCAGTGAGAAAAAACAATGGGTATGAACAAAACTAATTAATCAACGATCAACCAAAAAAGTTAAGTAGCTATCAGGATCGTTATCTTTGTTATTTGGATTTATTTGGGTTATTTTACCTACTCCAAGAACTCATTTATTTATGCCTATTTATAATACAAACAGTGACATTTATGCACAGCAGCGCTTTCTGTTTCATTCTCTTCAAAGTAGCTTAAAAACATTGTTCCTCTTTTTTTCCCCTTTTAAACCCAGCCTGAAGCCCGAGCTGAGCACTGCTCTGTCAGCAGCTCCACTCCCAGCTGAAGCTACTCTCAGAACACCTGATTCCACACATTTTCTCCACACTACCCTCCTCAATTTTAGCACAAGGCCATGACCTCTCCTGTCACAAGACACTGAAGATGTAACTCTCTTTTGCCCAAAGCACCGGGAGCATTGAAAGAAAGTAAATCCCTCTCCTCAGCACTAATCCCCACGGTTTAGATGCCAGCACAGGCTTTTCTTATACCTAAACCCATCCTCAACTTGAAACTTTTATTTCTTCTACAACTGCTTCCTCCCATCTTGTTAAAGCTCTGCAAAAAAAAAAAAAAAAGCCCCCAATTTAAGATGCCGTTAAGAAAATTTCACAGCAGAAAACATCACTGGATCCACGGATCCAAGGGGCCCAACCATGCAATAGCACAAATTCCCCCAGTTCTGCTTGTTCTCCCCTCTTCTCTTGGCTGAGCAATTGTCTCTTCTGAGAACTGCAAAAATTTGGTGGGAGTTGTTCAGTCAAAATTTTCCATCAGTCTCCTTAGCTCACAACAGCACTACCTGCTAATTTTTGTTCAAACAACTAAAGGGAAAGATAAAAACCTAATTATACTAAAAAAATGAGAAAAACATACAAAGTGGAGCCACAAGCCAAGATAAGACAGGAACTTCAAAGATTCTGAAAATAACACTCATTGTAATTTTTCCATTACGTTGTACTTATTCTCATAATCAACACCATTTAAATTAGGCTCTTATTATTTATGCAAATCTTTAACCTTACCTAGCTGACAGAGAAACTCAAGAAACTCAAGAACAGAACATAGATTCACTCATCACACATTCAAATATCTGCATGAACACTTGAACATCAATTTTATCTTCAGCTGAGTTAACAGCTGCCCTATTGCAGTGTACCATGTATTTTATCAACTGGTAATGTAAATAAATACATTTTACTTTTCAAATCTGTCAAGTGATTTAATAATAGCCAAGTTAGTATGTGAGAAGGTTCTGATTTAATTTGGGAGGTGCTTTGGAGTTCTTGTTTGAAGAAATATATATTAATATATTCTAGAGATATACTAATACATACACGCACAAACAGATTTCTGAAAGTGTATATGTAGTTGTCTAGAGCATTAATTTATAACTCATAGAAAATGGTCAAAAATTTTAAAGTCATCAGTGTTGCCATACAATTTTAGCAAAGTTATCTTCATTATTATTATGCACCCAAACAGACAGAAATTTTTACTATGAAACTTGCATTATTTTAGGGTTTTCTTTTATGGAACGACTCCCTTCTTCAAAACCATTTTATACTTTATGGTGGTGTTCTAATGTCATGGGTTTTTTGAATATGTAATTCCATTTTTATTAGCTATTATGGCATGAGAATGAACCTGCTTCTGTTGGTTTTGTAAGAATCTTTTAAGACATTAACTATTAGAACAAAAAGAAAGAAAAACAAACAGAAACAAAAACATATTCTAGCAATTCTTATGCCAAACTGCAGCTAGAAACAATTTCGAATTCTGATCCTGCAAACTTTGTTACCTGTACTCAGTTTGAAACCACTTAGTAGTCCTTTCAGTTTCAGTGGGATTTTATGAAAACATAGATAAGCACTGCCAGGAATGGGAGTTTAATCTGGTGCATCTTAATTCCTACAGAATGGACACGAAATGATCAGATTAAAATAAATAAATAAAAAAAAAATAGAACAAAAAAAAGATGTCCCTCTTATTCCTAATTTTTTTTTAAAAACTTTCTATTTAATTGAGAGAATCTAAAGGTACTTCTGCAAATCAAAATACTGTGTGAAATAACTCTAAGCAAGATGAGAAGGAGCAGACATGAGCCATGAGATGCATCACAGAACTGCTTTAGGCATCTTGAGCAGCTCACTTGGAGACAGCTGGGATGCACCACTGCAGCACTGAGAGTGCAGGGATATTTCATAAGAGATCTTGACATTACAAGCCCACCTAGGAAAACCTCTTCCTTCTGAAATCCTTTTTCAGACCTTGGGTTTAGCACAAGGCAAGATCACCATTAAAAAAAAAAAAACAAACCCGATTCAGAAACACCTTCTCGTGCCATCCCCCCAAAAACTCAATTCAGAAACACCTCCTCATCCCACTCCCCAAATAATTTAAAAAAGCCTCACACTTATGCACAGCCCACTGCAGCTGTGGTGGTTAAAAGCCCTACCTGGGTAAGATTTAATGGCTAAACAAAAGGGTAAAGCACCACCCCATGAGATGTGTGCTCAGCTCCACTCCATCTTCAGCACAACCCAGCCAAGGTGACCAGTGGGGGACAGCTTTGGGAATTTATAGGACTATCCAACAGCAGAATGTTCTGGACAATCTACATCGTTTTCAAACGCTACTGAATAGCCATAATTTAACAATAATTAATTTTGGCCAAGGTAGAAGATTCTAAGCCACAAAAATCCGTCCAGTTTAGTTGTTTACTCAAAAAGTGATAAATGTTCCAACTGAGTTTGGGCTAGAAAGGGGATTAATTAATGTCTGAATAATAAACCACAAAATTTCAGCTCTTCTAATCAGGTTAAGAAAAACAAAGTGAAGTCTTTACGTTCAGAGCATAAATATTAACAAAATTAAAATATATCTGATTTAAGACAGATTCATGATAGATATGATTCTCAAAAAAATGACAGATTATGGTATGTTTAGAACAGGAATAGAATTCCATTGCTAGTAATAAATGATATATGAGTTAAGGAAGACAAACATTAGTGAATAAACTTCCCAGTGTGTCTGACATGGCAAGAAAAGGAAAAAATATATGCATATGACATACACATAAACCCCTCTAATGCAGCTGATATCATAGGTGAACATACTGGGCTGCAGTTTTGCACCAGGTAGTGATGCCAATGCAGTCACAGCCTTTCTATCTTGCTTTATTCCTTAAATACTAAATAAATTGAAGTATGCATTTAAGGCAAAGTAATTTTCAGAAAAAAAAAAATATATGTTTGCAATACAGTAAGAAGTCTCTTAATCAAATAAATGTTAAAATAGATTGTTTTCAAAGGGTTGGTGTACTAAGGCTTTAACTAAAGAGGAAAACATCTGCACTTAGATAATCTGGAACAATCACATTATTTTCTCAGCTAATTACTAAAGAGAATAGTTATTAGGTATGATTATCATCTTTCATTTCAATAAAGGAAAAAAAACACCTGTACTAATACAAACCTGCCTACAAATATCTTTAAGTATGGACTCATCTTATAAAATAAACAAGATAATTACCCTTGAAGAATAAGGACAGCAGAAATCAACATTCCCATAAAACAGATGACAGTTTGGAGTAGCTAAAATTACCCCCTTTAAAAGATATGAGTCCAATCATTTTTGTACTGCTTAGAAAACTGACTGACAGCTCAGATGATGTTTTCACTAACATAAAATTTCAGACATTATTTTTTAAAAGCAGTGCAGTTGTTTCCTTTTATTCATAGAAGCATTTTAAACAAATTAAAAAAATTCCACAGGTGAATTAAACTGCTTACCTTTGAGCCTCGCTCATTAAAAATAATTTCAACATCTAAGATTTTACCAAATTGCTGCAAAGAAATAGAAAAGTTACATGAAAATTAGATAACTTCAACATTTCTATCATATATAGTGGAAAAAAAATCAAAAGATTTTCTGCTGCTTTCCAGAACAGGTAAAGGATTTGGTTACTCACATCTTACAAGAGTAAGATTAAACCAGTTGGGAGTTTTGTTGCTGGCTTTGGGAAATGAGGATTTCTTTCTACTCTTGCTGAAAAGGGTAACCATTACTTCCTACCAAGTTCTTGTTTTACTGGAGTATAATTTGGAAAACTAGAATGGATACTTACTTTTCGGGGGATTTTTCCCTGCTCAGAACTGCACTTTTATTATAATATTAGTAGCAACTGTTATTCCTACTGACCTTACAATAGCACTCAGTTCTCTAGGCATTGTTCACACACACAAAACCTGACCACAGTTGCCATCCCAAAGAAAAAGTCCCTACTGGATTTGTCTTAGGAAGAGAATCAATGTTGGACTTGGGCAGTGTTTAGTTAGAATGTGGGCAGTGATTAGTTAGAACACTTTCTGTTAGGACACACTTTGGGCAGTGACACTCTAATGTATCAGTGGGTCACTGCTGTTATCTCACACATCATTAACATGCAGTGTGGATCAGTGTTAACTCTGGGAAGTGACCCAATATATTAAACAAAAAGGCAGAAATTAAAGGCAGGTAAATGAAGAATCATCCAACAGAAGTCCCAGGAACTGCAGAACTGAGCCTGTACTTCAGACTTTTAAGATATAATTAACAATTACAGGCCAGAAATGACAGTATTGCTTCTCTAGCTTATTAAAGAGTTTCAGCTTGATTATGAAAAATCAACCATCACTTGTTATCCCTTGGTTTATTTCATGTTCTTGCATTCACCATTTAATTAATGTTTTAACTGTCACTTCAGCCTAGAAGCAGTCATTGACTCAATGTTTAAACAATCCTCCTCTGTTGTATTTGTGTCCATGTCCAAGATCAGCTGCTCTGTGTATAACGGGGTCAGGATGCTGTGCTACCATATTTCACATCTGATATTTCAACTCACACTTGAAGGAATTTCTTTTTTCTACCAATTCAGAAGATAAAAGTTTACTGTTACCAAGTCATTCTGAAAGTCAGCTGGAAAACTCCAGCCATTCTCTAGTGTTAGTCTTTTGAGACCTGAGACTCAGAAATTTAAAGGAAATGTAGTTTTTATTCACTTATAAATTACTGCAATACTTAAAAAAAATCCTTTCATTTAATGTACCTTCAAATGAAATCTATTTTAAATGGTTTGTTTAGTTTAAATAAATTTGCATATTTTTCTCCAGAGGGTTAATTATTATGCCTTCTGCTATTTTGCTGATGAGCTGTAAGCTGTATTCAGGGGAGAGAACCTGTAGCAAGTCAGATACAGCAGAACAGTCACTCATTTCCCAATACTACACCAGGATTCTTTTTCCAGTTATTGTTTCCTTCAGAGAAATAAATATTGAGAAACACAATGTCTTAATTCACATACAAACACATTAGAAGAACTTAAAAATCTGAACTAAACATGAAAGATGGAGAGAAGTTTAGAGCCACAAAGTGCTTGATGCACTGAATAACCAACTGTAATGCAGAAGAGAATGCAGTTTTAGTGATCAGAAATAAGAAAGCCAGAGTAACATAAATACTTAAGAGTACTAACTTGGAAAAGGCAAAAGTGGGTTCTAATAGATGATCAAGTGCTAGATAATATTTAGTGACATTTCAAAAAAATCTAAGAGCTCTTGGAACAGAGGGGAGAAACCCAGCCCAGACTCTCGTGGGTTATGAGCCTAAAGCTGATGGCACATTTGAGATGTGTGAAACACAGGCAATGTGCTGAAGGCACCCAATGGCCTGGGGGAAAGCAAAAATTGAGAGACCTGTAGAAAAATACCAGCAAAAACTTCAGGTATCTACAGAAACCTGTGGGAGTGGGTGAGGATTCCTATTCCTCAACTTTGGTCTTAAATTCAGTCCATGTCCTCCCACAGATTTGAGTCCCTTACTCACGAGGTCAAACACTGACTATTTTACATCAAAATTAATAAATACAGGCATGTAAATCTAGATGTGCACAGCAGGAATACATGTGCATATAATATTTTAAGCCAACATAGATAGAGTTCTGTGAATGTAACACAAAACACCCAACTGCACCACATACAGTAGAACCAGTAGAATTCCTTTTCTCAGTTGTGATTGGATGTTTGGTTATAAATGGATGGAAAGAGACACTTTACTGAAAATGGTTAAACAGCCTAAATCAGCTCTCACAGCTGCCTAAAATACCTATTGCAACGTAAATATAAAAAAAAAAAGAACAAATAAATGCTGAGCACTTACACCAAACATTTGTCTAAGGTCTGGATCCCGGAATCTGAATGGTATATTTGAGACGTGAAGCCGTTTTGGCTGTGATTTGTTTTCTGTGTTTTCAGAAGATTGTGTCTGTTGCTGGCCATCGGTCTGTGCTGCATCATCTGTCTGCTAAAAAGGTAAAGCAAAATAAAGCACACTGTAAGTATTTCTGTCATTTTTAATGTAAGGTGTGGGCTTAAATTCTCAAAAAAAAAAAAAAAAAAATTAGTGAAAAGCAATTAAATCTACTCAAAGGTACTGAAGAATACCAGAAGTTTAAATACATGAAAATCACTCCATTTCTGTGTCTGTCTCAACAGCACATGTGATAAATATGTATTTGGAATAAACTGGAGAATATCAAGCAAATTATTATTTGTAGATTTTCTGAGCTATTTTTAAATAATTAACAAATATATCTCCCTATATTATAAGACTGTTGAACCCCTTTAACCTCATCCCTGTTTGCCAATGGAAGAAACTGAATCTCCATGTCCAAATGGAGATTTACTAGCAGAAAGAACAAGCCAGACACTTTCAAATCAGATTAGTACTTTCATTCAGAGGCCACTGGGACTTCTACACAGGAGGCAGGTAACACATCACATCTAGTTGCCATTTCATAAGCAGTGCTGATGGGCACTAGAGGGTCATTTTGCCTGGATAAATGGTGAGTATTATGGAAAAGGCCTTGAGTTTTGAGAGGGAACAGAAGTTTAATCAGTGGTGAAGGTTGCCTGACAGAAAAGTCAGACCCAGAAACAAAGTCGTACAGATTTTCTTTCTCACTAAAATGAGATTATGTCATGGTGCTTCTAACAGGGACACTGTTCCCTGGTTTGAAAATGCTTCCATTTAATAACTGAAGGACATTGCTGTGTATTACAATTTACAAAAAAAAATTTATAAATTTCCAGAGAGATTAAGGAAAAACGTAATGTCCTTCATCCAAAAAGTAAAACTAGCCATGCTGGTCTATCAGTATATTACAGAAATTCTTATCTGTGTTCCTCAATTATATCCTACTGTGCCTAATGAATTACTGCATGTACAGCACACATTCAGTGGAAAAGGATTTTGTATAGGTATGTAAAAACAACATACCATTTGCATTGGCAGAGGGGATTTGGAAGAATAGAAGGAAAAAGAAAATAGTTGAATGAAACTATCAGGATGATCTTACAACTGCTACTCTATTTTCTCTGTCCTTCCTCTTCCTTCTGACTTCATTCTTTTTCCAAATACTCACTTGTCTCGTGTTTAATGTTACAGTTCAGTTTGCCTTTCTGACTTTTTTCATTAAAAAAAAAGAAGATAAAAAGAAGAAATTGCCCATTTCCTGCTAGTATGAAATTTCTTTTAAGAGACAACAGTTGAAGCAACATAAAAATGGTTAAATAAAATAAACCTTACCACACAGTTTTAGTACCAACAAACCTGTTGAAGAGGAAGCAAAATAACTCAAACAGAATACATCATTTACAGCAGCAATAACTACACACAAAATGAATTCTAGCAAGTTAAATTGAACAACATCTTACCCAGGAAATGGAAATGTTCTCAAATTAAAAGTACAAACATTTGTATTGCTTATAATTCTGTGCGAAAAACACTTCACAAATAAAGGGCCTTATTTCTGCAGCAGCATCAGTCCATCAGCAGCATCTACATTTCATGGGATGTGATGAGACTCACACACAAATACCAACTTTTGTGTGCACTGAAGAAGGATTTTCAAGTGATCCAAATAACTGGGATCAAGTGTAAACCTAAAACTGAGCCAGTGCCACCACATCTCTTCACCTGCTACTCCCTGAACTCACAGGGAGGGTCCCACAAACTGAAATCATTTGTCTTGATAAATTTTTAGTGATTTAAATGCTAAACACGGTACACAGCTGTTAAGAGATGAAAATATTCTATGCTGATCCACTGTTATCTAAAATCAATTCAAAGTTTCAAAATTTATATTTTGAGGCAACTGTTCCATCCACAGACACCACAGAGAACACTTTCTATCTCCAGGCCTTTAAAGGAGAGAAATATGAAGAAAATTTGGTATACAAGAGCAAGAAAGGGGGGAGAGAATGAGAGACTGGAAACTCTTGAAATAGAACACTCTGAAAGAATTTAAGGTCAATTAGATCAATCAGAAGAGAATTAAAGAATTCTGAAGGTGCTGTTTAGCTTCAGGAACAAAGGGTGCCCCAGGAAGAAATTACATAATCAGCGTCCTGTATAAATGCAAATTGGGAAAAGCAATTTCTGTTCTTTGTATTAATATAAATAATGAGAAATGAGTGGGAGGGCTGAACCAGGCACTATTAACATACCAAAACACTGGGAGCAACTTCCCTACCAAGCAGCTGAACAGATACACTGTCAGCAAAATCCAGTGAGGTTTCTGAAGACGATGTTAAAATGAAGGAGCCACAAATTATGGGTAAAGTGGGTAAATCCAGGTACTGTTATTTTCTGTGACTTTTCTTTTTAACCGTTTTTATTTTACCATTTTTATTCTAAGAAGCCTCGAATTTACACTTTCAGCAAATAATATCTCAGAGTTTGGGCAGGGAGGACTGAAAAACAGAGACTTCAGAAAGTCACTGTCATCCACATTTTATACATGTACATGACCTTCAAGATGCCTGTGGCAGAATTAACAGAACTAAACCATTCAAAACATATTAAAAGGCTTGGAAATGTAAGAGTCTCTTCACAAAGCATGTTATCACCCAGAAATCTATGGATGAGACCAGGAAATACAGAGTAGGATAAGTGCAAATTGAAATTGGAATATGAAGATAACACAAACATTTCCAGGTAACACCACCAAAGAGGTAAAACACACATAGGACAGAGGACTGGTTGGCTTTGGAAAAATCACAGTTTCTGAGCTCTGTACACTCACAGAACTTGAATGTAATTTACCTTACACATACATAATACATTTCAAGAGAATATTTTCACTGAAGAAGATTGGTGTTCGATATTTCTTTAAAAATTAATTGAAATTAGTATATGGCATTATCCTTGCTACATCCCTTCACTCTTGCATGCAGCCAGACTGCTTTCTGGTGCCTGTTCCACCACATATTTGCAACTATAAAATATTAAAGAATCTTAACATATGACAGTCTTAAAACTTATAATGAAAGTTATAAATACAGAATGAAGAAATAGAAGACCAAATTCTCACTTACAGGGAAATAAATTAAGATGATCTCCCTTTATTTCTTACGTGTAAGAATGAAAATTGAAACCATTCTTACAGGTAAACAAACCCATATGAAAGAGGGTATCTCACAGAAGATGATCTTTTTTTCATAAAGATACTTTTGTTATAAATATATGGTAAATTTTTAAACCAAATCCATCATCAGGGGAGTTAATATCTATTGTTTTCTAAAGAAATTCTTTGTCTTTACAAAAATACTTTTTGTTTGTTTGTTTGTTCCCTTATCTGAGTTCTAGAAACAGAAAACTCCTATTATTTAAAGGACTTCACTCAAGTTCTTAAAGACTTGAGTGAATGAAGTAAATTTTACAATGAAGTAAAATTCTTGAAGTAATTTTTCTGGTTTCACTTTCTAGCTTTTATCTGGGAATTTAAAAACATTATAAAGGTCAAGAAAACTACTGAACAAAATGTTTGGCCTGGATACAATAAATCTGAAAATTTCTATTCGGAGAAAATATCTCCCCCCCCCCACACACACACACCTTTTTTAAGGCCTTACTAATCCAAATTTTCGGTGTGTTTCACTCAAAAATACATTCTAAAACCTTCATCCAGCAAAATCCCTGTGCAAACCCGTTTCCCAGGTTACTCCTGACAGGACACAGGAGTCTCACCTCCCATCTTCAGCACTTGTGGCAAAGGTACCTCATGCAATAAAACAACCATCAGCGAACCTGGAATCAGAGGGGGCTTGTGTACAACGTTTGGGCAGAAAAAAAACCATTCCATTCTCCTTCCCAGCTAATACATATTTTCTGTAGCCCTTTCCATCCATCACTGAAGACAGTCAGCCCTGCAATGTTTCTTACACTGCAGTTGTAAGTGTTACACTTTCCCTCCGTTCTTTTTCACTGACAAATCTTCATTTTCTACAAAACAGTGGTGGTGCAGACAAAATCTTTCACCCTCCACCCCCCTTTTCAAGGTAATGAAATCCTGTCACAGAAGAGCTGTTTGCACACCTCGACAAAAAGAACGCTGTCCTCAGTCTCAGCTTTGAAAGAGTGAATGGAACATAAACAGCAGGGATGACTAAAATGGAACTAAACCTTTTATCTCTTCCCGGACAAACTGAAAATATGTTGCGTTAGAAGAATATGAAAAAACTTTACCAAGCCCTGATCATTCTTCTAGAATCTGTAATCAAATAATAATTGGTTGCACATCTTTTAAACCCACACCAACTCTAAAGGAAGAACAGCCTAATTCTAGCAGGAACAACCTGGTAAATATTTACAGGGAGAAAAGAAAGGGGGGAAAAAAGCAATAGATTATTTTCTTAAACATGCTTAATGGCAAACTTATGTGCTGAGTGTCTTATACTCTATATAACACAGGGTAAAGCTCTTTGAGATTTTATATTTAGAAAGAAAAAGAAAGCACTCATTAAATTTTTTAAAAAAATGCTCAAAACAGCACCTGTTTTTTCCTGCTGCACCAATCAAGTTATTTCTCAGAGGGAAAGAGCTTGTGAATGTCTTCTAGGCATTATTTGATTAAGTTGACAATATTATGTGAGCAATGGTTGAGTACCCACTGTGCTGTACTTTTGACCAAATTGATTTGTGTAATGAACACTTGCTCTGTCTCTTCTCTAGCCTGAATAGGGCTCTTGATTTAACCAGTGGTGCTGGAAGCCAAGTGAATTTACAGCCCCCACAGTCATTCTCTCTCAATCTGGAGAGAATAGCAGCAGCAGTACATGAGCAAGCATAATTCAATACATTGTGCTATAAGCAGAGAAAATAATATCAGAGCTCTGCAATATACCTGTTTGATTTGATTTGTAAACCCGATAAAAAAAGCAATCGAGAAAAGTTCAGCAGAGAAAAAAAATATATATATATACATCCTGAGCAAAAATATAACCATACTGAATGTGTACAAA